AAAAGTCAACCTTTTCTTATTTTAAAAGTTTTCTTAAATCCTTTTTTCCACTCTTCCGTTAGTGAAGGGTACTTTTGAGCCTATTGGGTAACGGTGAGGGTAGTTTTGCACCCAAACTCAAATGGACGTTATATTTGCTCTATTGCCAATAGTTTAAGGGTATTTTTGACCCTTTTCCCTAGAAAGTTTCATTTGGAGATTGTTTGGGAAATCAATTCTAAAATGGTGATTTAAAGATTTTAATAATCCATTTCATAAGTTGAGCCTTCTCCTTGACTAACAAATATGGAAAAATATTTGCAAGAGGAAATTTGGGTTGGTAAGGATCCACATCCTTAGCTAAGATTTGTCAACAAATTTGTCATGAGATCACCACTATTATCCATAAACATTTTCCTCAAATTGGTGTTTCTACTCATTGGCCTCAAATTCATTAACTTATCGAGAATGTCAAACCTAAGCTTAAGATCATTAAAACTTCCTAGAAGCTGCCTTAAGGAGGGATTTCCAAACTAAACGCAGATCGTTGTTCGTGAGGAAACCCAAGCATCAGTGTAGGCGGATATATCATTCGAGACTTCAACATATAGAAACATGATTGTAAACTCTTTTGGTCGGCAAAACAACAATTATATAAGCTGAGACAATAGCCCTCCAAATTTGTTTAGTGTGGTGCAAAACACAGAGATTTGCCAAGATTATTACTAAAATAGATTCTTTATTGATTGCAAAATGGATAAAGGTAAGATGAAGATTCCTTGGAAGTTAACCTGATGAATAAAGTGTAGGATATTTCGACCTTGGCGACATGTTTCGAAGTGTTCAATATTTTATAGTTACACTGCGTAGAGGACACCCATGCTAAAATTGGCTCTAACATAAACAAAGTCAAATAGTAATAGAATTAACATGAATTGCTCGAGCAAGCCAAATGATTGAGCCTTATGGATAATGACCAATTTGTGAATTTCAGGATAAAGTAAACAAAGTCAAATAGTATCAAGAAATTACATGAATTGCCCGAGCAAGCCAAATGATTTAGAACTTAAAGAAAAGTGAGATTTTATGATAGAATTAAATTTTGAACTTAATTACAATTCACAACTGTAAAAATAATATTGTTTCATCATTTTGCAGGTATAGATAATCTGATATACATGGTGAAGATTGAAATAATTAATTTAAGATTGAGAGCAAGGAAATGAAAAATATAATAATTTAGAACTTTTGGTAAAATTGAATACTTAACTATAAGAATAATATTTTTATTTCTAAATAGTCATTTTGTATTAATAACTTTATTGCCGCTGTGTTACTCTAAATCTCCATAATTTAATATTCTTTTTTCTTTTAATTTTGTTAATTGAGAGGTAAATATCTATCCCATGACTTGTAGTACTTTAGATTTTCACATATTTTGAATTGTAAATTTATGAAAAAATGCTTACTAATTTTATGTGTGATAATTGTTTGAATTTTATCTTCTTTATTTTTATTCCACATAAATACACTGTATATGAATCTAACAAATAAGGGATATGTTTTTTTTTTGTTCCTATTATTGTTTTTCAATTAAATGCATGAAATCTATAAATATTATAAAGCTAAAAATATATAGAAGTATCGTGCCACCTATGTATAACTTCCAATTGCATTATTTGTTTTCTCTTCTTGGCATTTTATTCCCCCATTTCATTATATAATAATACAATAATCTCTACTTAGTATTATTTTTCTTAATTATTTTAAAAATCATCTTCATAACTCATATCACTTTTTTTAATAACTTCTATTTTAATAATATTTATTAATTTTGCGACTTCAAATCACATGAACCTCCAATTGCATTATTTCTTTTCTCTTCTTCTAGGCATTTTCTTCTCCCATATAATAATAATAATAATAATAATAATAATTAAAATAATAATAATAATATCTATTTAGTATTATAATTTTAATTAAAAAATCATCTCCATAACTCATATCACCTTTTTAAAATAACTTCTATTATAATAAGGCAAAAGGGTCTGGTGGACCCTTGTACTTGTATGAGTTTGTATTGTGAATCCTTCTACTTACCCATTTGTCATCTGGACCCCTGAACCCATCTAAACTCAACATTTTAAACACGTTTTCTGACTTGCCGTCCTATGTGGCAGACACAACCAAGGGGCGTGTGATACACACACCTGAGGAGAGTGAAATCTAGTTAAAAGGGTCTAATAACCACATTAGGGTTTTATAAAGTCATCTTCTTCCCCATTTGCATTTAACACCATTATTAGACAAATTTGAGCTTTTTCTTGCCTCTTTTTCGATCTTCTTCTCCAAATTTCTTCTCCATTTTTTTTCATCGTTATACTCCTCTTTTATTTCTATGCATTTCCAGTTAATTCTTTGCTTCATTTTGTGGTTTATCCTATTGTAGTTTTTTACATCATCATGAAAGTTGCTTTTCTTAGAATCCTATAATCTAATAGAAATCATGAAACATGTAATTGAAAGCATAACAAATAGAATCCCCAAAAAATTAGTATAATCGACTAAAGACCTAAAAATTAAACAAAGACATAAATAGAAGATGGAATCTAGACTAAACAACATACAAATACGAAAATAAGTTACAAAATTTACATAGATAAATTAAAAATCAAACAAAACCAACAAAAATACTCAAACAATTTTGTGGGAACGAAGAAAAAAATGAGAAAGAAAAAATGTGGGTATATATAGCCACACACAGATACTGATCTAGGACGACGTTGACACACTGTACACTCAAGCGGCGAACCTCTCTTCTTCGATTTGGATGAAAACAAAGACGGATTGGTGTTTTTTCTTCAATGAAAAAAGTAGAAGAGGTTGAAAAAAAATGTGCAAGGAAGATGAAAGAGAAATGAAATGAGATTGTGGAGGAAAGTGGTGGGTTTGGTGGCAAAAGGCAAATAAAAATTAGAAATATATTAATTAAATATAATAAAAATGTCAAGATGACATGAAGTGGTATATATATACACGTGACATTTTATAATTATTTTTAAAATTACGTGTCAGGCGCTTGTGGTACACGCACTACTAAAGGGTAAAAAAAGTGTTTAAAATATTGAGTTTAGATGGGTTCAAGGGTCTAGATGACAAATGGATAAGTAGAAGGGTTCACAATACAAATTCATACAAGTACAAGGGTTCACCAGACCATTTTGCCTTATAATAATAATCATTAATTTTGTGGCTTTAACTCACATTTTCATCACTCCTACTCTTAATATTCTCCATTACTCATATGTATTTTTCAAGTTTCTAGCCCTCAAATAATATTTTACTTATAAATTTTGACACCTTATCATAATTTTCTCATTATGAATTTTTATAGGATCTCAAATAAAAATGATATGACACCTCTTATAATTCAAGAAATTTATTTATAATTTATCATTTTTTAAAATATTTTCCTTAATTTTTTTCCCATGTATGTGCTATAATATTATATAAAAACTCAAAACTCAGTTCTTCAACTCTTTAAGTATATAATAAATGTGCCTATGTTAAAGTTGTGAAAAATTAAAGGCGTTACATTGATATTTTTTTTTCCAGTTTTTATTAGTAATATTTAATTATTTATTTATAAGAGACTGTAAATGGTCATCATATACAATATTACAAATTTTTCTATAAAAGAAAGGTCATTCTATAATCTGAAATAATTGTATAAGTAGTTGATTTAATTTACAAAATTAAAATTTATATGTGTACATATGAAAATTTTATATACTTTATTTTCTAAATTCATAAGATATCCTTAAGAAAATTTACTAATAACTTACATAATCGCGCGAAGCGCGAACAAGTTTACTAGTATTACAAAATTTCCGAGGAGTATAGATATGATGAGCATGTCCATATCAATCAAGTTTTTCAAGGAGGTTTGATTTTTTGTCCCGTATTTATTTTTTTGGATATTAATTTACAAGGTAGAGGTCTTAGCTAAACCTCATCTGATAAGGCAAGACGACTTTGAATTTAAAAAAAGAAAAGAAGGTATTTTAAGGATTTGGCTCCTCTCCATTTTCCTTATCTCCATTTTCCTCAAGTTCTAGCCTTGATTAATGACATATGGCATATGTTAGATTTAATGGCTAAAATTTAATTAATTAAAATATATTTCTAATAATGGTTTAGATAATAAATATATTATTATATAATTAAAAATAGTCCTATTATTTCTCCTCTTTTCTCCTTATTCCCTCCAAGTCCGATTGTTTCTCTGCTAGCAATTCAGCCACTCATCTAGTTTTCTCTTTTAATTATTTTAATTGTTATTTGCATTGCGCAAAATTAATTTAATTAGATAACGTCTTTTTATAGAAAAAAGTTTATTTTTCAAAATATTTGATTATGATAAAATCTTGTTCATTGAAAGATATTTCTATGTTTAAAAGAAGCAGATTGAGAACTAATGTTATTTAAATTAATGTATTTTAATGCAAATACCAATTCTAGAATTTTCATTTCTCAAATAAATGTAAACGGATCGGTGTTGCAAAATGACAGCAAAGAAATTTTTTGGAGGGAATAGGGAGAAAAAGAGAGGAACAATTGGAGTCGGAGGGAATAAGGAGAAATAGAAATAACAATTAAAATAATTAAAAGAGAAAACTAGATGAGTGGCTGAATTGCTAGCAGAGAAACAATCGGACTTGGAGGGAATAAGGAGAAAAGAGGAGAAATAATAGGACTATTTTTAATGATATAATAATATATTTATTATCTAAATCATGATTAGGAATATAGTTTAATTAATTAAACCTTAGTCATTAAATCTAACATATGCCATATGTCATTAATCACGGCTAGAACTTGGGGAAAATGAAAACAAGAGAAATGGAGACGAGCCAAATCCGTATTTTAATAACTTTTCAATTATAATTTTTTAAAAATATTTATTTAAATAAGGAAAGTAACGGCTGGAATCAATTATGAACCATAGTTGACCAAAAGAATAATGTGAAGGGTATAAAAATTGTGGTCATCCACGTACACCACGCTTGTCAGTTTTTTTCTTTGTAAAAAATAAATTCGCAAAGATTTTTCTGGATTTCTCAGTTTGAATAACAAATTCGATCTTGAAGATGAACCCAAACCCTAACCTTAATCCTCCATCAGATCATTCTCATTCTTCCGATTACGCTCCATACCCAAAGCTCGATCCAAACGACGTCGCTCCGGTATCTGAGACCTGGACTCCGGTTAATGTCGGATCGAATCCTCCATCTGCGCCTATATATGGCAGCGCTGCAACTACTATGCCTACTGAGTCTAATCCCTACGTTACTCCCGAGCCTGCTCAACCCCCTGCTTCTTTAGTGAAGAGTAAGTCCCTTCATTCCTCTTATTCATTTTGAGACGGAGACCAAAAGAGAGAATGTAATTTACCTTTTTAGTGTATGAGATCAAAGACTGAGAGCCCACATGTTTTGTCAAAGAAATCTATCTAGTACACTCAGATAACATGTACACTTGTGTCTATGCAAAATCTACTTCTGCCACTAAACTAAACACTTGTCTAGCCTTTTGTTTCTATTGCAAATGGAGCCTGTTTTGTGTACATCTATTACTTTGTCTGCTTATCGTTTATGTGTCTGAATTGTCATTTTACAGATAAAATGGATTCTGTTAAGGATGTCCTTGGTAAGTGGGGAAAGAAGGCTGCAGAGGCAACAAAGAAGGCTGAGGATCTTGCTGGGAATATGTGGCAGCACTGTATGTCAAATTGCTTTTTGTTGCTATGTCATGTGCTATTTTACCATATATGAATTTGTTATTTTGCCTAGACACTGCCATTTTATTTCTGTTTTTTTATACTAGTCGGGAGGATTCTGCATATCCCAATGTTAGTGGTTCAATTTTCTAATTATATTATAATTGATTCAGTGAAAACAAGCCCCAGTTTGGCTGATGCCGCTATGGGAAGAATTGCTCAAGGAACAAAGGTCTTGGCAGAGGGTGGTTATGAGAAAGTCTTCAGACAAACATTTGAGACTGTCCCAGAGGAAAAACTTTTGAAGTCATATGCATGCTACTTATCTACTTCTGCTGGTCCGGTCATGGGAGTTCTGTACTTATCCACTGCCAAACTTGCATTTTGTAGTGATAATCCTCTTTCATACAAAGTTGGTGATCAGACAGAATATAGCTACTACAAGGTATGCCTCCCCTCTCCAAAAAAAGAAAAGAAAAACAGCTCGAGGGTGCAATGAAAAATCCTCAATTTCATCTTGTCTATAATGCTCCATTATGTCATGAACTGCAAGTTAAGCATTGCACTATCCTTTTTAATGGTGTTGGACAAAGTATGGTGTTACATATGGTTGATAAGATGAGAGTCTTGTATACTTCTGTTTTCTAGCCTAATCAAGCACATCTGTGCAAGATTGCTCAAGTGCATTATCATCACTCAAATATTATTAAGAATCATCAAGGTCTACATGGTTGTGCTTCACTATTCTCATGCATGGGTGGTAACAGGGGTAGATCTAGGGGGTAGCGAGGGGGTTCACTTGAACCCGCTCGGCAAAAAATAATACTATGTATATATATAAGATATTTTTTGTAACCCTTCGGGGTTGCCCAGTGGTTTGGGCTTGGGACTTCCATGTTGGAGGTCTCAAGTTCGAAACCCCTTGCCAACAAAAGCAAGGGGTTTGCCTTCTGGGTCGAGCTCGTCGCACCAGGCTTGCCTAGTGCGGGTTACCTCTCCTATGTGGTTTGCGAGCTATTGCATAGGAGCGGGGGTTTTACCCTGTGCGTACCCAAAGAGTAGCGGCTGCGGGTTTTCCTTGTCATAAAAAAAATAAGATATTTTTTGTAATGTATTTATATAGATTTTGAAGCTCCTAAACATAAGATTAAAGATTGGCTTAGTAGTTGAGGGGGTTCAAAATTTACCTTGAGGTTCCTAGTTCAAATCCCAAGCACTATATTTTTATTTTTTGAACCCCATTAATTAAAATCTTGGATACGCCATTGCGTGGTAAAATGGTTATATGAAAGAAGACTGCATGCTCCCAAGCTTTGGTCTAGTGGTAAAATCGCAACACGTAATGACTTTGGTCTAGTGGTAAAAGCTTAATGCATAATGTGTGGATTGATGCACAACACATGTTTGAACTCTGCTGAGACAAATACTTGGTATTCAAGTGGAGAAGGATAGAGGGGTGGGGTGGACATACTACCACCTAGTGTGCACCATTGACCTTCTTGATTTCTTGATTTTCCCATAAAGAAGAAAAAATATAAGACTACGCATCAAACTATAAGTCAAATCATGTAATAGTATGTTGTTTTGACAACACGTGGACTTTTTATGATCTACTTATTTGGGAAGAATATTCTATGATACTTTTGACTAATAGGCAAAATATATTCAAATCTATGTGCACAAAACCTTTGAAATTTTCTTTTTTAGCTGCATAGTTCCGATTCTCATATATGGGTTGCTATAATCATTGAACAAACACCCTGGATGTAATGGGTGGGTTCTCTGTGCACATAATTTATGATGTTAAGCTTCTAGAGGCTGAATAAATATATGATCCTTTAAACTTACCCGAATTTTTGATTTAGGTACTAAAGTACAACCTATTAGAACACTTGAACTTTTAAATTGTCTTTATTAAACACGAGTTGCTAAGTCTTTGGAGAAGTCTAAAGGTGTGTAATTTACACAGACCTTATGTGGAAATAAACAAGTAATACAATAACACGTGTCAAGAAAAACTAAAAGGAAAGACAGACAAACAAAATGATTGAGCGTTCTTTCTTTTATCCAATTTTTTTTTTTTATTTCATCTCTTGTTCTTTATTCCAAAACAATGACCCTTAAGAAAACTACATATATTCTTGAACTAGCTTTTTGAATCAACATATACATTGATTTCCACTTTTTCTCTTTTTCATTCAAAGATATTTCAACATGGATTCTTTTTTGATTTGGTTTCAGGTCTATTCCCATGTTCTGATCTTTCCATCTATTTGACCAATTTCTTGGGTAAAGTCCCCCAACACTATGGCTGGCAACGGGACCGGTAGCGGGACTACCGGACCGGGACGAACCGGAACCGGGTACCACGGGGCGGAACCGTACCGGAACCGGTAGTTCCGGAAAAATATAGGTGTATCCGTCCCGGATTGGTACCGTACCGGGACCGGAAACCGGGTCCCAACGACTATATTTCAAAAAAATAAAAATTACTTATTAAAATTAAGAAATTGGGAACATTAATCAAATAATATTAAAAACTTTTATAATTTTAAGTTAAAAATACTATACTTTTAAACTTTTAAAGTTTAAAATACAAACTTTCAAACTTTAAAAGTATAAAAGTTTAAATTTCACACTTTAAAAGTTTAAAATTTTAAATAAAGTTACCAAGTTCAAAAAAAAAGTTTAAAAATTTAAATTTTAAACTTTAAAAGTATAAAAGTTTTAGTTCACTTTAAAAGTTTAAAAATTTAAATTTCAAACTTTAAAAGTATAAAAGTTTAAATTTCACACTTTAAAAGTTTAAAATTTTAAATAAAGTTACCAAGTTCAAAAAAAAAAGTTTAAAAATTTAAATTTTAAACTTTAAAAGTATAAAAGTTTAGTTCACTTTAAAAGTTTAAAAATTTAAATTTCAAACTTTAAAAGTTATAAAAGTTTAAATTTCAAATTTTAAAAGTTTAATAGTATAAATTTCAAACTTTATAAGAGTTATAAAAGTTGAAGACAATAATAAAAAAAATTAAGGCGAATAGCCTATAGTTTTATTAATATTAATTAAATAGTACAATTTGAGTTGCAAAATATTAGTAGAGTATTAAAGAATCTAATCTACACAGCCACCTTCTAGAAAGGGTTTTGATTGAATTAGACCTCGAATTATCATACTCATACTAATAGACATTTAAATTTAATAGTTCATGGTAATCAAGGTAAATCTTTTTCTTAAATCATTTTAACATTTTCTCTTGTAACATGATCTGGAATTGGTTGATTAGATAGTTCCTCCAATGCATCGATGCCGTCGTCAGTAAAATCTTGCATTATTTCATCAACATCATTTTCAAATTTGGTCGGTAAAGCTGGACGACCATAACTCCTCTCGCCATTAATCCAATCTCTAAATAGTATCGATATCTCCAAGCTATCTGCTGCTAATGAATATCTATGCTCTCCAATTTGAAATCTTGCTGCACTAAAAGCGCCTTACGAAGCTATTGAAGATGCTTGAATATAGCTAACACATCTCGAGCAACTAGTTGAAGTTTTGGAAATCCCTTGCCGCGATTGCTCCACCATTCTAGAAGATCAGTAGTAGGTTCTGTATTTTGATTAATATTTGCATCAAAATCATTTCTATCATTATGAGAAAGTTCAAGATAACAATCTATCATATCATCAGGATCATCTTCATTATATCTACTCCTAGAACTTTGAGGTTCTTCATTACGTACTACATTCATTCTATTAGAATTATACAAGTCATACAATTTTCTAGCTTCAATTTTTATACTATCTTTAACTTCTTGACAACTAGGTGTTTCATCATCTTCAATACCCAAATTAAAATATATTTTATCAACCATTCATGATGCACCTTCATCTTTGTAATGTGGGTTTAACAAACAAGCGGTTAAATAATTTTGAGGAATATGAATAAAATATTTTTAAAATTTTTCAATCATTTTCTCAACAGATTCTTCAAATCTTGGTTTATTTTTGAATTTATAAAATTTACTAGAAATAATACAAATATTAGATAAATAAAACAGAGCAAATGGTTGGATAATAAAGTGCAGATATTTTTTGTAGTTAAATAAAAAACTTTTAAGAATTCTATAAGTTCTTTTACGTCATTCCAATCATTATCATCAAGTCTATAGGTCATATTTGAATTATGAACATTCCAAACTATTTGTAACGGTTTTCTAAATTCATAAGCGACTTCAAGCATTTCAAATAAAGAATTCCATCTAGTACACACTGATTTTGGAATTTTTCTTGGTGGAAGATTAAATTCACGACAACGATTTTCAAAATCTCTACGTCTAGACTTAACTTGACATTTAAAAATAAAATGACATGCAATTTCAACTTTTATGCAACCATCATTATACATTGTTATACTATCTCTAACATTAAATTGTATATGTGTGCAGCACACCTAATATGAAAACCATCAATATAAACAGGGCAAAGAGACGGTTTTAGTATTTCAACAGCAGATGTATTATTAGAAACATTATCTAAGGTGACACTAATTATTTTATCACAAATTCCATAGTTTTGTAAAACATCTATAATTGTTTGAGCTATATAACTACCGGTTTTTATGCATTTCACAACATTTATAACCTAAAATTCTTTTTTGACATAAATCCCAATTTTCATCTATCCAATGTCGTAAGTAATAAGTAGAAAATAATCATTACCATTTACACTACGACCCATATCAGAAGTAATAACAATAAAATCGGGATTTTCAACAAAACTAAATGGCAAACTTATAACAACAATCATTTTAGCTAATTCTTCAAGATCTTTTTCTCTACTATATGACCGTTGTATACTAGAACCAGAAACATTAGAAGGATTTAATTGTGTTTGGACCATATTAGAGCCCTCTACTCCTACATTTTCAGGAAGGGTGGTACCATTCTTTTTAGCTTCGGCTACAGCTTTAGCATGCAAAAATTCATTTTTACAACATGACATTAAATGATTACTCAAATGTCCCGTCCCACCCTGTTTTCCTACAGTTTTATGATTCATTCTATGTTTACATTTATTACAAATAGCTTGTGTTTTATCTTCATTTTGAGTCATAAATTGCCACACAATTGATTTTTTAGCACGTTCTACGTTAGGCCTAGGATGTACGGGGGAACGAGAGCAGGACAACGAAAGGGAGCGGGACTAGGAGTGGGAGGGGGAGAGGGACTGGGACTGGGACTGGGACTGGGAGTAGTAGCCGTAACTGGCTTAGTTTCATCATCATATTCATCAACATTATTATCAAAATTATCAATATAATCATTAACATTATCATGTTCATCATCTTCAGGTAATTCCTCATCAAAATTACCAAACCTTCTTTGTAAATGTTCATGATAAGGATCTAATCCACTATTACTATCAATATTAAAAACAGTTTCATTAACATGCGTATAATTATTCGTATTTATTTTTAATTGAGAAGTTTTTTTAGTTTTAGATTTTGAAGTACTATCGTTTTTTTTATTTTTCTTGGATTTTGAGGTCCATAAATTAGTCAACGAATCAACTATGGTTGTTTTACTCTTGTCAACATTGTTTTTACCGGAATCCATATTCAAATATAAAAGTGAGTAAATTATATATAATACGAAAATGTAATGCAAAGTTTTAAACAAATAAATAACTAAATAAGTAGAGACTAGAGACTAATTACTCACAAAATAAATAATTAAATGCAAACAAATAAATAACTAAATGAAAAGTGAGTTGGAACGTATGTACCAAACGTCTACTTAAAAAAGTAGACGTGTATGACCGAAAGCCGAAAATTGAAAGTTGAATTTTGAAGCTCCAAATCCAATTTCCAAAGACCAAATTCGTAATTTTAACAAGAATAAGAGATTAGAGAGTAGAGATTTGAGTGAGACTTTTGAGAGTTGTTGAGAGAATAGAAGATAATATTTTTGTGAGTGAAAAGAATGAAAGATTTGGGGTATTTATAGGTTAAAAAAGGGATGAAAATGTAGTTTTTAGAAGGTTGGGGTATTAAAAAAAGTTTGGGGGGGGGGGTAGGGGGTGTTTTGGGGAGTTATTGGGGTGAAAGAGCCGTTGGTGGAGCCCATAACCCATTGCCCAACAACCTTCCAACGGCTCTCAACGATTGGTTTTGCAATTTAAAAAAAAAAATAAACAAACCGAACCGGATTGGACCGGGACCGGAACCGGTATATACCGGACCAGGACTAACCGGTAAATCCCGGTTTCCGTCCCGTTACCCCTCCCTGACCCCCTAGACACCGGACCTAAACGGTGCAAGTCGAAACAAAACCGGACCGGGACGGAACGGTACCGGAACCGGCACCGGCACCTCCCGGTTCCATTGCCAGAGTGTTGGGTATTTGAAAACGAATTGGTTAACCATAAAGAGTGTTGAAGTGTGTGACCATGTCATCTAAAAGTGGAAGTTGTTAGAGAGAACACACTTTTACTTAAATGTCTTTCAACATATCACTGCACACGCGGCCTAATTCTTTTTCATGAGTCAAACATGTGAATTATTCTTTTGGTAATGATTGGCAGTGAGACTCAAAACTAGGACCTCTATCTCTTCTGTTATCATGTTGAAGTGTGATTATCTTATCTAAAAGGTTTAAGCTATCAAAGAAAGAATACTTCTATTTATTTAATTATGTCATACAACAAAGACAAAGTTCTCTTGTAATTTTGCTTCTTGCTTTTCCAATTCATAAAGACTTAGCTAGCGTTTGGTCATAGATTCCCGAATATTTTTGGCAAATATTATTTAGGTGAAAATTTGGATGAAAGTTAACCATGTGTTTGACCATAATATTTGGTGAAACATATTTCACTTTTTTAAGAAATATGATTTATACCATAAGTTTTAAAAACTATCATTACTTCCACAACAAATCTATTGGATCTTCGCTGCAACAAATAACAAGTATTGTCCATGACACTGGAGCAATGTGGTAGTTCGGAGTGAGTGTTACAAACATCATTTCATATATTGTGAAGTAGACGAAGCACATAACTTTGTTACCCTGAACTGATTGTTCACCATTTTTATCAACAACCATATCATCACTTTCATATTCATTGAATATTTCATCACTACCTGGGTGTTCACGGAAAAAATTATGTAATACAACGCAAACAACTATATAGAGGATCTTTTTGTAAAAGATTAAAGTTTGGTGTAGAATTTGAATTTTTAAAAGCTCCTAGATAATGAGATTTGGCCCAAATACTAGTTTTTTCTAGTATTTGAGAATTTGGGTTATTTGCCAAATAATGGCAAATTGTATGGACAAATACTATTTGCCAAATTTTACTTGGGAAATCTATGGCTAAACGGGTCCTTATAATTTCCTAGACCACTTCACTATTGGGTTTGGCGTCATTGTTTGAGTTGCGTGTGAAAAGAGGGTGTTGTTGTGTAGAAGGAGAAATGAAATCATTTGTTGGATCCGTCGAATGAGGTCTAATTTGAAGGTGTAGGTGGAGAAGTAAAGGTTTAACATCTCACCACTACCAAATCTAGCTAGCATGCAACATTTCTTAAACAATTTCAAAATCTGCATATCAGTGAAAGAGCATCCCACGAACATATTAACCAGGTAGTGGCATAGACTAACAATTGGAGTTTGATGTAGAGATTATGGTAGAAGATGAGTGAGATGATAAGATTGAGAAAAATGGAGCTTTTGGTTGTGAAAATGGAAGCGAATGAGTCTATGTTGATGGAGGTATGACCAAAGTAGAGAGAAGAAAGAAAAAAAATAAAATAGCAATGTTCTTTCTTTCTTCATTGACATTGTCCTTGGGCATTTCAATATAAAGAAAAAGATTGTTAGGCTCTTAGGAGAAGTATGGAACACGCAGTGCACCATGTTAGCCTTAGGTGAGGGACTAAAGGGTTGTCTCACCGCCACCAAGTCTAGCTACCCTAACCACACTTGAACAATTTCAGAATCTGTGTACGAGTGAAAGAGCATTCGACCAACATATTAATTATAGTCTAGCAATTGGAGTTTGACGTGAGAGATTATGGTAGAAGATGACTGAGATGATAGGTCTGAGAAAGATGGAGCTTTTGGTTGTGAAAATAGTGTCTATTATGATGGAGGTACACCCAAAGTGGAGAGAGCAAAGAGCAAAACTAAAATATAAAGATAAAATAGTTGTGTTCTTTTTGATGACCAAAATAATTATGTTCCTTTTTTCTCTATTGACATGTGTCCTTGGACATTTCAATGTAAAGAAAACAAGGGTAGTTCATGTTCTCATGAAAAGTATGGAACACTTTGTGTGCCATGTCAATACTAGGTGTTCGAGTTGCGTGTGGAAAAAGGGTGTTGTTGTGTAAAGGGAGAAATGGGTGAAAATGGGACCGTTTGTTGGATCCGTCGAGTGAGGTCTAATTTGAAGGTGTAGGTGGAGGACTTGAGGGACAACATCTCACCACCACCAAATCTAGCTACCATGACAACACTTTTAAACAATTTCAAAATCTGCATACAGGTGAAAGAGCATTCGACCAACATATTAATTTGGTAGTTGCATAGACTAGCAATTGGAGTTTGACGTGAGAGATTATGGTAGAAGATGAGTGAGAGGATAGGTCTGAGAATGATGGAGCTTCTGGTTGTGAAAATAGCGTGTCTATGTTGATGGAGGGATACCCAAAGTAGAGAGGAGAAGAGCAAAACTAAAATATAAAAATAAAATAGAAATGTTGCTTTTGATAACCAAATTAGTTATTTCTTTTTTTCTCCATTGACACATGTCCTTGGACATTTCAATTTAAAGATAACAAGGGTAGTTCACGTTTTCATGAGATGTGTGGAACACACGATGTGCCATGACAACACTGGGTGTTTGGGTTACATGTGCAAAAAGGGTGTTGTTGTGTAGAAGGAGAAATGGGTGAAAATGGGATCATTTACTGGGTCCCTTGAGTGAGATCTTATTTGAAAGTGTAGGTGGAGGACTTAAGGGCTAACATCTCACCACCACCAAATCTAGTTACTGTGACAACATTCCTTTTCATAATCTGCATATCTGGCATTTCACCAACCGCCAACGTAATATCCGGGTAGTTGTATAGACTACAATTGGAGTTTGACGTGAGAGATTATGGTAGAAGATGATAGGATTGAAACAATGAGGATTTTTCTTGTGAAAATGGGTGCTGGTGCATCTATGTTGATGGAGATACGACTAAAGTGGAGAGAATAAAGAAAGAAAAATTAGTTATGTTCTTTTTTTGTCCTTGGGCATTTCAACACAAAGTAAACAAGAGTACGTCATGCACTCATGAGAAGTATGGAACATGCCATGTCAGCGCTGGGTAATAGACACATTTTCTATTAACAATTAGTTGTTTAATAGGTACACCCCTTAGTTTTAGGTGTATTTATATAAATTTGGGGCAAGTTTAAGGGGTCGCATATGTATTCAACTGCCTCTAGGAGATCTTTTGTTAGCTTGTCTTAATAAGCCTGCAAATAACCAAGATCTTTTTTTCTATTGCAGGTGGTTCTCCCAGTAGACCAACTTAAAGCTGTTAATCCTCCAATTAGCAAGATCAATCCAGCTGAGAAGTACATCCAGGTCATCTCAGTTGACAATCATGAGTTTTGGTTTATGGGTTTTGTTAACTATGATAATGCTGTCAAAAGCTTGCAAGGTGCTCTGTTGGGTGATCATTCATAGCTGGTGCGTCAAGTTCTTGATCATTTCAGATGAGGTCTGTGGCAGTGGTGCTTGCTTTTAATGTAGATAAGATTCTGTAAAATATGGCAAATCAGGGGTCGGTTATTGTTGTGCCTACATGCTTTAGTTTGTCTATTGGTTTGGTATCTTGTGTATTACACCCTCTATTTCCTGGATGATTATTATTAGCATCTTTTAGTATTTCTAATTTTGTATTGGTGGATTCAATTGCTATTTATACTAAATCATTCAGAGAATACACTAGTGGATTTGGTAATACATAATGCATTGTATATCATCATGAAATTGAATAAAGTTATTCTTTGTAATAAGATATTCGCTTGTTTATGTATCTGCTGGAAATGCAATGTAGTTACCGAATTGTATGAATTAACTAACTGTTCATCTCTTTTACCTTGATTGAGTAATTTTGAGGTACTGTTCAGCCTTCAATTCTCAGAAATGATATTTTAACTTGAAGGGTTAAATTTGCAAATCCTGTAGTCTGAATCAAGTATCTGCATGTAAAAATTAAAAATGTTCTTTCTTTTGCCCTTTGGCAGTGGGATTAAAGACATTTGAAAGTTTCAAATAAATCTGAAAGAACCCCAATCAACCTTCAAAGCAATCTTGACAGCATGTTCAGAGGAGCTACTCTTAATTCACTACTCTTTTATCTAAATCATGTTACATTCAAGTATCAACTAGTGTTTTTGTTACTCTTAAAACATAATAATACAAGGCATGACTTTGAAATTTCCTTAACATCTTACATGAAGAACGTAGAGAACAAGTCAATAGGTTAAACTATGTCTATTGAGACCTGCCCACTTCAAGATAGAAAGAAGCTTGAATCTATGATATACCTTGGTGTTTAGCTCACAAGTCTTTTTGAACAACCATTAGCTTGAATTTAATTGTGACTCTAGTTTAAATGTTCAACACCCATGCAGGGGCGGTTCAATGTAATCGAAGGCCTAAAGCGAATTTTCATTTGAAGGCCTAAAATCTAAACCAATTTCATGTGTTTATTTAAAATTTATGTTTCTTACACTTTTCAAATGCAAATTATTACTTAGTATTGTTTTCAATTATTATTTCAGATATGATTTTATCAATTCAACATTGAAATTTTTTATTTCACTAAGACAATCATTATATGAATTATAACATAATATAAGTAATAAGTTGACAATTTTAAATAAAGATAAGAGTTAGAACATAATGGGGTCAAAGATAATAAAGTAACATAATTTTTTAAAATACTTTTTATTATAAATAATTATTTTTTATAATAAAAAAATTAACACATACTTTATTCTTGGTAAAATTTGAGGCCTCCTAAAATTGGGGGCCTAAGGCATATGCCTTAATTATCAAAGCATAGAGCCGGCACGGCACCCATGTTTAATTTGCCTTCACCTTCTATTAAGTTCAATACAATTTTTTTGTTTGTTTTGTTTTTGTATGCAATAAAATAACAACAAACAACATATTCACTCAAATTTCACAAGTGCCATTTTCTTTAATGGTATATATCTGATACAATGAGATGATCGAAATTCGGACCCTTTCACCGCCCACTTCAAATCGAGAAGAGTTCATAAATGGAGGTTGGTCTTTGATATTTTATCCCCATAAGAGAAGTCAAGATAATATCTCAAAATGGTTACTCAACTAAGGATTTTTATTTTAGAAAGTCATTCAAATAAGAGTCCTTATCTTAGAAAGTCACTCAACTATAAATATTTCACTTACAAAGTCACCCAATTAATTTTATTGAAATACTTTTTTTTTTGTTTTAAGTTAAATATTTAAGGAACAAAAAATATCTGTTTAAATCATCTTATTGATTCAACCCACTAAGATTATATGAGTGAAATATATATTTACCACTAAAATCATAAAGTCATTTTATGATTTTATAATTTATATATTATATTGTCATGTCAAAACTAATATTGGCATAATATTCTAATATGTTTCCAGTTTACTAGTTATAGTAATGAAATAAATTAACGCCAAACTAATGGAGTGAACAAAATAAAATCATAAAGTTGTATTTGTTTTTATAACTTAGGCCTCATTTGTTTTCATTAAGATTCAGACCTTTGAATCTGAATACACGTTTGAACATTAAGATTTGCATTAAGAGCTAGGTGTCTAGATCTGAATACACATCTGAATATTAAGATGCGGTCTCCAAATCTGAACACTGAATGATTATTGTTTGTTTTCAATATCTGAATGTGCATATGAAATCAAACATTATACTAATAAAATATTATAAAAAATTCAGTTCAACAAAAAATATTACTTTTTGATTAAAAAAATATCATAATCATCAAGCATAACATAAAAAAAAATCACGAATAAAAAGTATTTCATAGGCACAATATAATATCAAAAGTTCAATAACTTTGATAAATACTACTTGAAAAATAATAAATAAGGTATCACATTATCAATGCCTAACATATATTTTGGCTAATTAGAAAAACTAAAGAATTCTTATCTTTTTTCCGATAACCCTAATCAAATTCTCTAACTTGTGAACCTCTAACGTCATTCATGCTTTTTTGTAGTGGACACTTTCACAAAATATACTAACACATGTATTGTATAATAACTCTTCCCATCCAAGTCCATCTAATTTTTCCATATATTCTTCAAATGTAGGTGCACTATTTTTTTAATCAATAACTCCATAGCAGTAATCATCTTCTCATCAATTTACAATTCAGACGAATAAGATTTTTTTCTTTCCCAAAACTTTTTTTTTCCGCTGAAACTAAAGATTGGGATGGATAATTATTAAGAGCTCCATTATTTTTGTCACCAACTAGTTCAACAACAATAATATATTAGTGTTATCTCACAAACAGATTTGATGATCAAAGAGTCTCAATAAAATTATTGGCCTAAGACAAAATTCTAATAAGAGACCTCAAATATGTATACATAGTTATTATTTTTAATTATGAATAGTAATTTTTTCACTCAAAAACCTTGATGAACATCAATATACGAAAAATATTATTGCAACAAGTGTTCTTGACAAACATCAATACACCCTAAGAAAATTATTAATATAAATTTTTTTTTGTAAAGATTATGAAAACTTACCCGTTCAAGAGGAAAAAATTGGTGTTTGATTGAGAAAAGAGAGGAAGAAAGTTTGTAGTTGTGAGAGCAAAAGTCACGCAAAAACCGAGAGAGGCGATACAATATTATTTTATAACTTATTAAATAAGTCTGAATGGTGTTAAGACTCTCTTGCAGAGCTGATCCGTTCAGACCTTTTCAGGTCCATTAAGAGGGTTTTTGAAAAAAAAAACAAATGGACTTAGTGGGCTGTTCAGATTCAGACCTAAAAACCAAACACACTTAATGAATTGAATCTGAATGATTAAGATTCAGACCTCCATTAAGTGCAAACAAATGAGTCCTTATATTCTATCTAATATATATTATGATGTCAAAACTGATATTGGCATAATATTCTGCTATGCTTCCAGTTAAATAATTATAAATATTATGAATTTATGTTAAACTAAATTAAATTTTATTAACTAAAATATTTATGTGATGTACATTTATCTTAGCAGGATACCGAAATTGTTTAAATGAGTACCTTTTCATTTCTTAAAATTTTAGCTTAAAACAAAATTTTATTTTAATAAATCTAATGAAAAAGTTATTTAAATTAATCAAGTGACTTTTTAAGTGAAATATAATAATTAAGTGACTCTAAGCGAAAAATATGTAGTTAAGTGCCTTTTTAAGTGAAATTTATAGTTGAGTGACTTTTGAGTTTTAAAACAAAGGTGAGAGCCTTTCTACTCTTAGTTGAGTGACTTTCTATGAAACATGCATGCATATGGAAACATGAGAATAGGTGAAACACATGAATCTCAAAGAGTACACGAGAGGAGCTAATACCTCAAGTTGAAATTGAAGCGGAAGAAAAGAGATGTAGGTACTTGGACATCATACCGGCTTCGGCCTCCCAAGTAACACTCTCAACTAACTGATTCCTTCAAAGAACTTTCAGGGAAGCAACTTCTTTATTTCTCAACTTCAAGACTTGATGGTCTAGAATCTCAAATAGAACTTCTTCATAAGAAAGACTTTCTTTCACATCAACACTGTCTAAAGGCACAATTGAAGTAGGATTACCAATACACTTTTTCAACAAGGAAACATGAAACACTGGATGCATCGATACCAAATCTAAAGGCAAATCCAACTCATAAGCCACACGACCGAAATGCCTCAAAATCTGACATTGACCTACATAATGGGGACTAAGCTTCCCTTTCTTTTCAAACCTCATCACACCCTTCATAAGTAAAAAATTTCAAGTAAACTCAATCATCAACGACGAATTCAAGTTCTCTTCTTCTCACATCTGCAAAGGAAATCTGTCGACTTTGAGTCGTCCTCAATCTATCTCTTATAAGTCAAACCTTCTCCATATCCTCATGAACTAACTCGAGCCCAATCAAAGCAACCTCACCAACTTCAAACCAACTGATATGGGACCTACACTTCGTACCATAGAGAGCCTAAAACAGAGCTATTTGAATAATGGAGTGATAACTGTTGTTTTAAGCAAACTCCATCAAAGACAAATGATCATCCTAATTACCTTAAAAGTAAATCACACAAGCTCTCAACATATCCTTTGAAGTCTAAATAGTCCGCTCGGCCTGACCATCAATCTTCGGATGGAAGGTCGTGCCAAGCTTAACTTGGGTACCTCAGTTTGATATGATGGATAAGGGCACACCATGCATTTTAACCATATCTCGAATATAAATCTTAGCATATTCCTCGGCTGAATAAGAAGTCTTCACGGAAATGAAATGTGTCAACTTCATCAATTGGTCCATAACAACCCAAATGGATTCATGCTATCGGGTGCGGGGTAAAACACTAATGAAATCCATATTCAAATATTCCCACTTCCAAGTAGGGATGCTAATATCTTAATTCATACCTCTCGGCTTCCTATGCTCAACCTTCAATTGTTGGCAATTCAAATACTTAGCCATATATTTTGCAATATCTGATGAGTCTACGATTTGAACTAATTTAGGGATTTATTTTAATAAATTTAGTGTCCTCAAATGCATATTTTGTGCCAATCCTTGATTTTCAGGTATTTGGATTGAGGAAAAAAGCATGGACACTAATGAGTAAAAAGGAACAAAGCAACAAAAATAACGAAGAAAAGAAGGCTTGGGGATCGCCTAACCCATTGGGCGAGTCGCCGAATGGCTATGGCCTCGCCTAAAGTTCCAGTGTGCCAAGCCCTGAAGGAGAAAATCAAGTCGGCGATAGAAATGAGTAGTCATCGAGTCGTTGAACGATTCTACGATGCAGTACTTG